GAGGCACAGTCTTGTTCATGACATAGCATTTGTTCTACAGAGAAGTGGTTTTGTTTTTTTGTTTGTTTGTTTTTGTTTTTGGATACAGGGTTTCTCTGTGTTGCTTTGGAGCCTGTCCTGGAACGAGCTCTTGTAGACCAGGCTGGTCTCGAACTCACAGAGATCCACCTGCCTCTGCCTCCCAAGTGGTGGGATTAAAGGCATGTGCCACCACCACCACCCAGCTTAGAGAGATTTTTACCTTCTTTTGAACAATAACCAAGCTGTGTAAAATTATGTATTGGGTTGGTTCTGATGGCCTGGCTGGTTTGTTGGTTGGTTGATTGGTTGGTTGGTTGCTTTTTCGAGTCAAGATCTCTGATAACCATCCTGACCTGGAACTTGCTGACTGAATTCATTCCTCTCTCTCCACCTTGAAAGTCCTGGGTTTCTGTACCACCAGTCTGTCTAGCGAGGGCGTGAGGGGGTGGTGTTTTACAAGCATTTGGGTTTTAAACATTTGACCAAATAATAGCACGTGTGTTTAACCACAGACCTTCCTTCCCTACCCCACCCTAGCCCACAGGTGTTACTTTGCTCCCACTTTACGCAGCCCTGATGTTCAGAGCTCCTGCCCTGCCCTTCTTAGCCTCCATCGTTCCGTAGTTCTGCTTTGTGCTTCAAGCTCTCATCACATCCTGCCTGGCTCTCAATGTTTCTGGGGGCAGCCCTGTGACTTCTGAGTCTCTTTGAAGCAACACTCTTGGTGAACATGCTTGCTCATTCTTACTTTAGTAATATGAAGTCAGAGCCAAGGCCACTTTAAAAGCGTGTTTCTGAAGAGCAGTTGGTGCTGAGGCTTCCTTGCAAAAGTCCCTGGTGATGGTTCTCTTCCAGCAGGCTTTTCTTGACCTATTGTTAAACCTGACAAACTGGTAATTGTCCTTCTAGGTTGCTAACTGAGACATCTAACATTTACATTGTAATCCAGCCTGTGGGAAAGAGGGAGACCTGGGGATTCTTTTCAAAGCAGTATTTATAATGAAGGTTTGTGTATTCCATGCAGAGTTGCTGGAAGCTTTTCTATTTTATTCCTTCAAGGGGCTGCATACTCTTTAAAGGAAGACGTTAAGCTAGAAGCAGAGGATCTTCCTTCTCTCCATTGACTTTGTCTCGATTGTTTTAAAGACAGTAACCTCTAGGCACGGAGTGTTTTAATGAAATGTTCCAAGTGTTAGCTGAATGATGCTTGAAGAATTCTATCTTTTATTTAAGTTCCCTTCTGCCTCCTTCAGAGATCTGTAGTTAGCTGGTCTTTTGCATAACAGAAAGAAGATAATTGCAGTAAGGATGCCAAATGAATAAGTTAATCACTTAATTTACTCTGATGCCATCATTGCTATCTGTAGAAGAGACAGGCCTGCTTACATATCAGAGGCTATGAAGGCTGGGGAAGGATTCTTTTTGGAAAGGAAAATAATAACCTTTTCATATTTGATACATTTCAATGTTGCAAATCTGTGCTGTGTGTTAAGTTGTTGACCTGTTCCCTTTGAGTGTATACTCAATTTCTGTTCTGTGTCACATTTCAAATCATGTGTCAGTGTTAGTGAACTGATGGGAATGTCTGCTCTGCTGTCAACAGTTGTAACACACACAACCTTCCTGTGACAACAGTTTTCAGAAATCTGGACAGGGAGCTGCATGAGCCTGTAATCCCAGCTAAAGGGAAACGAACAGCTACAGTCATTGTCTCAGTCTCTCAGCAGGAGGCAGCTTCTAGACTGTAGCACCAGAGGGGACAGCCAGGCCCAGGCCCGGCTGAAATGAAGGAGCAGACCAGGGTGGCTGAACAAGCCTGGCTAGGCAGCTGGGACTGTGTGACAGTGATCCTGAGGGCAGAGCTGCCAAGAGCCAGGTCCAGGTGGGCCAGCTGAATGAAGAACAGACCAGGGGATTGTGGGACAGTGATCCTGAGGAAGGGGCTATGAAGAAAGGCCTCCTGAAATCCACACGGGTTCCCATGGGTCTGGCTAAAGTCTAATGAGAACTAAAAAAAAAATTCTCAGAAATTATTTTTACCAGGAAATATAAAATGAATGAATCTCAGTGTCCAGATAACACCAGACATCATTTTCTCTTCCTCTGGCCAGAATAAAGGACATCATTGCATCCATGGACAGAGATTTCTAGAAAGGTCACCTAGAAAGTAGCCCCACAGTAAAGGATTCTCTGCCTCTGTCTTAAAAGAGTTAGTCTTGAAAGCATAAAATTATTACATAAGTAATTTTACTTATGCTTAAAATACAGTGCTCATCAATACAGAATTGAGAATATATAACCAGTGAGCAAAATTAACTAGACATGGAGCAGCAGGAAAACATCTCCCAACTCAGCCTGGAGACCCAGAAATGACAGAGAAGAAGTCAGTAGCCAAGAGTGCCCAAAGGGCTGTTGTAACTGTGGTCCTTCCACTGAGGAGGAGAAGGAAAACTGTAACACGAAGAGGAGTGAAGCTGTTTAAAAAATTCAAATGAATGTCTAAAGATTTTTTTTATACCTGAAATTTAAAAACAGAATACAGAAGGAAAAAGAAAATACAGAAAAAATACAAAATCAAAAAATACAGACAGAATTAACGAGAAGACAGGTGTAGCAGAAGAAAAGATCTATGGTGCTGAAATAGATTTAAACTGACCCAGGAGCCAAGAGGACACAGAAACCTAAAATACATGAAGAAGGGTTCAGTAGGTTTTGAGACAGTATCACGTGCTTGAACACAAACAGTTCAGACTTTCAGGGGGAGGGGTGAAAGAAAGATGAAATAACAGTCATATGTTTGCCGAGTTCGCTGAATCTGTGACTACACGCATCTAAGATATTGAGCCATTTCCGCATAGAATAATCATAAAGGAAAACAAGGCATGTCATGATCCAGCCATTGAAGCCCACGCTAAACAGGTCATGGGAAAAGCACACAGGAATGCAGATGTATCACACATAGAGGAATAAAGATACAACATGCCCAAACTTCTTATTTCATGTGAGACAAGACAATTCAGCTAATTCTTTGAAAAGTGCCAAGAGGAAAAAGAAAAACCTGTCAAGTAGATTTTCTTTTATATACTAAAAATATCTTTCTCAAAAATCAAGGTGCGGTGACTTTTTCAGACATACAAAAATGGAAAGAACTCATTGCCAGTGCGTTTCTGCAGCTGTGATATTTAAGGGGGTTCTTCAGACAGAAAGGAAATGATGGCACAGAGTAATATAATAGTGCAATATGAATGCTTTGTAAATGGTCATTATATTACTTAGCGAATAATGTACATTTTGTTTGGTATAGGCACAAAGGTTTCCCAAGTACTGATTTGCAGGTGGCTGAATCTGCCACAGATAGCCGTGGGCTGTCCCACAGAAACGCTCCACACAGAGGCTTTACACCAGTAATCACAGAAGCTTTATTGATAGACCAGAAATAGCCTACTTTCCATTAGCCGGTGGGAAGATAAACTGCCATGGATCTGTGTATCCCGATAGTAGTTGGCAGGATGAAGCTATCAGGGTGAACCCATCACTTTGCCTGTTAACCTAAAAATGTAATTTAAATACAATGAATGAACTACAGTTGCATACAGCATGGAGGCAATCTCATAACCCTGCCACGGGAAGGACGCCATATACGAAGAGTTATGAGTCATAGAGCCCCGGTAATGCACCTCAGAATCAAATGCAGTCGGCTCTAAAAGCAGATGCAAAGTTCCGAGTGATCCGCAGGTGGGGTGAGGGCGTCTGAGGGAAAAACATGACATTCTCGGTCTTGAGGCACATCAGAACTCATCCGATGTCCACGGAAAACAAGAATTGTTGGGGTTTTGCTGTTAGGACAGATGAGGAACTTGGGTGTGAGTGGCAACTCTGGAAAGTTCGATGCTCTCAGAATGTCCGGAACGGGTTCTCCTGATCTGATTTTGAGGGGTGTGAGCTTATGAGAATAACAGGGCACCTTTTGGTTCCCTAAGGGAGCTTGTTATCACCTAGTGATCAGTGTGTTGAGTGTTCTGAGCAGTTTGTTCATTCTTTCCCTACAACATCTCTGAGTTAGGAACCCACTGTCTGGGGGGGGGGGGGGGGGGAGAGCGAAGCCCATAGAAGTTATGTAATTCCCAAAGATGCCGAGCCAAGATCCGATCCCAGATTTTACTTCTAAGCCTATGTTTGCCCCTCATGTTGGCATCATCTGTAAATGTTTAGCTGCTAATGTGAGGGTTTGAGCTGAAAACTTTGCTTTAAAAATATATCTGAAAATCATTCTTAGAAAAGGATTTCTGGGATTCATTTGACTAAGGCTTTGTGCATTGAAACTGCCGAAAGAAGGAAGAAGGAGGTAAGGGCTGCCGTCCATACTGTGTAGCGAGTCCCTCAGTTGGTGGCTGCCAGGGCTCCTCTTCGTACATTGCTCTTGGGGAATTAATTCTCTTGCTTTCACTTCCGACTGAACTCAGGGGGATGTGCACACACCCAGAAGGGGCTGGGTTCTGTTTCCACACAGTACACACCGTGTTGTGTAACTGAATGTTTAGATACAGTATACCTGAAACATTGGTTTATCATTCTGAGGAAGAGCCTCAGATATTGATAGATTTTGGGAAGAGTTTTCGAAAACTCTGCGTCCCAAGATTGACACAAGACTGTACCAGTCATCCAGTTGTCTCCATCTTTGGCTACTGAATAAAACCTTGCCAGATAGGACCAGGACTTGACTCAGCCATCCCAAGAGCTCCCTGCGTTGTGTTCCACAAAAGCCTCTCCTTGGCCCACTCAGAAGACGGCTCTTTTACATTTTTCCATACGTGAAAAATTAGTCCCTTGATCTGATCTCTCAAGAATCTGTTCCTAGACTCACCCTGAAAGCATTTTAAGTCGTGCTAATGGTGGTCCCAGCACAGTAAGAATAATGATGATAACTTTGACTTGCAGTAATGCCTAACTGTCATGTGTCTATGGGTCCTTTCGCTCAGATGTGACGGTGGTTTATCAGAATGGGTTGCCCGTGATATCCGTGAGGCTGCCGTCTCGGCGTGAACGCTGCCAATTCACACTCAAACCTATCTCCGACTCTGTTGGTGTGTTTCTACGACAACTGCAAGAGGAGGATCGGGGGATCGACAGGGTTGCCATCTACTCACCAGGTACAGTCGCCTCCACTTTTAATTCGCACCCCAAACTGCTCAGTCTAACTTTAGAAAACACAGGAGGTTTTGCTCTGCAAGTATTCATGACAGCGCCCTTTCTGTCCCTGTGGTCTTCAGGACATAACTGCTCAATGTCAGCAGATGTGTGCCCACAGGGAGTCTCATTCAGATGCAGCTCACATCGATGCCATCCCAAGGACAAGCAGGCAATCACATTTCATGTTCCTGAGCCTCTTGTCATAACTGTGGGTGCAGAATGTGTTTTCCCAGTAGCTGAGACCTTGAATGTTTACCAAAATAGCGTCTGTGATTTGAGAATATACAATAAGACACTAAAAACTCTCATTTGATGTAGCATCTGTTTAAGTGCCAAAAGAATTGTCTTCATTTTGACTCAGAAAATCTTTCAAACCTACAGAAAGATGAAGAGACTAGTAACTACCCCATTACCTTTCCCTTGCAGTCACCCGCTACGACGGCCGCCAACTTCCGTCCTTGGCGTATTAACTCCAAACCCTTTAGTAACATGCTTTGCAGACCCAGTTGGTACGCTTGCTCCCCATCACATCCTTCCCTACCGAATGAATTAGCAGCTTGCGGGTGGCTGGGCTGCCAAGTACCTCGCCGTCGAAAGCTCTGAGCCTCTTCCTCCCGGCTCCCGGTGTAAAGGTCCACACTGCTCCGCAGTCGACTCCAGAGCCCAGCTGAGCCCCATGGGTCCACGACCAGCAGCTATTTCACTTGTTCCCACAGCTGCGGGGAAAGCGATTGTTCAATCGTCAGAGCCGGCCTAAACACAAAGAGCACTCTACAAGCTGATCTATGTTTAGCATAGGCCTCCGGGCTGTGAGGCAAAGGTTAGCAGAGAAGTGGGATAAAAGCACTCTAAAGCTATTTGAGATGGGGGTGGGCAGTGCCTGACTCGTTCCATTTACACTCTTCACAGACGGCGTCCGAGTTGCTGCCTCCACAGGAATAGACCTTCTCCTCCTCGATGACTTTAAGCTTGTCATTAACGACTTAACATACCACGTACGGCCACCAAAGAGAGGTAAGCTGCCTTAGTGAGGTTTTGTGAAGGTGGGAAGGTCTTTGGACCTTGAGTAACCCTAGAAACACACATGGTCTTCACACTTTTCGCACAGCGAGCCTGGCTCGGCACTAAGCCAAGCTTCCAGTTTGATCCTGGAGTGTGTTGTCATTCCGTCTCATCTACCTGAATGTCCTTACCAAGAGTTCCTCCTGGCACAGGTTTCCTCTCTTCAAATTCTTTTTCATTATTATATATGTGTATCTGTGTGTGTGTGTGTCTGTGTGTGCGTGTCTGTGTATGTCTGTGTCTGTATGTATGTGTGTCTGTGTGTGAGAGCATTATTTGTGTGTGTCTGTGTGTGTGTCTGTGTTTGCATGTCTGTGTATATCTGTGTTTGTGTGTCTGTGTGTGTGAGAGCATATGTGTGTGTCTCTGTGTGTTTGTGTGTGTGTCTGTGTGTGTCGGTGTGTGTGCCGTAACACATATGTGGAGGTCAGAAGACAACTCTCGGGAGTCAGGTGTTCCCCTCCACTGTGAAAGTCCCTCAGCTTGAACTCAGGGCCCCGGGCTTAGCAGCATGCACCCTCCCCTCGGAACCAACTCACCAGCCGTGTTTTCCTTGAAGAGGGTTTCTTTTAGCTTACAGTTCCAAAGGAATACATCCATCATGGCGGGCACATATTCTTCTACATTAGACTAAGATGAAGGAAATCTTTATGTTTAAACAAAGGGTTTTTCTGCTCTGTAAAACACTGGTAGGGATTGGTCATTTTGTTTCTTTAGTGGTTTAAGTTCAGCTGTCTGAAGCAATTGTTCCCATCTTTCTTGGCCTCCAGTGTGGTTAGTAAGTCCAATGGAGTTGTAAATATAAACTGTATTTGATACACCTGACTTACCAAAGATTATGTCTTTTTCTTTCTTTTTTTTTCTTTTATTTATTTGTTTTTGTTTCTTTTTGATTTTTCAAGACAGGGTTTCACTGTGTAGCCCTAGCTATAACCCACTCTATAGAACAGGCTGGCCTTGAACTCAGAGATCCACCTGCTTCTGCCTCCCAGGTACTGGGATTAAAGGTGTGCACCACCACCACCCAGCAAAGATTACGTTTTAGTTTAGTTTATCTTAAGTGTATCCAGAATTTAAGCAATCAAATATTATTGAACAAAATTGTCTCACAAAAAGCCTGCTTTATTACAAAGCTCTGATAATCTCATGTACAACACACGGCAGGGTATTTTTTAGACATAACTGGATGCACATATGTAAAACATAGCATCAAAAACAAGAACACAGGCAGCACGTACTGTATATGATAGGTTATTGGTTGATTGTGATCACATGGCTGACTGGAAGCAGTAGATGGCAGCCTCTGCTGGACACCACTCTCATGGAAAGATCAGTTCTCAAAATGAGATCCCTGGTTCCTGCTGAATACACAGTGCCTTCTCAGCACTGTAAAAATCAAAATATTCTGAGTTCTGGAGCCTTCTAGAATCCTTAGAAATTTCCAATATTCACATTCTTACTTGGTGTAGGGAAAAAAGGGGAGGTGCTCAACTTTGGTGTGCATTTTAAGAGGGCACCAAAATATTAGTATTCAAGGCAGCATTTTAATGGTCATTTTTTTATACACATACATATGTAAAATGCATGCTTTGGTATTATTGGTTTTCCTTTTCTTCCCAGGCTCCAGAGTAGCTTCTGTCTTTGTGAACCATTTTCCCTCTTTGCCCTGAGTTCACTGTCGCTTGCTGCTAATGCCCCTTCCAGAGTCACGACTCCCCGCACTAACCTCCTATGACACCCCTTTTAGTCTTGCTCTTAGGGATTGGATCTAAGCCAGATGCAGTGATGCACACCTTTAATCCCAGCCCTCAGGAGGCAGAGGCAGGCAGATCTCTGAGTTCAAAGCCAGCCTGGTCACAGAAAGATCCTGTCTCAAATAATAATAATAATAATAATAATAATAATAATAATATCTAGTGAATTGGAGAGAAGGATCAGTTAAGAACACTCGCTGCTCTTCTGGAGGACCCAGATTCAGTTCCCCGGCAGCTCAGAGCTGCAGATAACTCTAGTTCTGGGGAATCCAACACCCTCTGGCCTCCACGACATAGTGCACATATATAAATTTCTATAAATAAGTACTCCTGAAAAGAGCTGGCTCTGTCATATGTTAGTCCATGCTGGCCTTCCCATCACACGGCTGCCCTCTGGCATGCCTTTCTCTCTGCTCCTTCCTCACCTCCACTCTCTCAGGTTAAACTCTCCAGGTCAGCTCGTTCCTGGTGCCCTAAAGCATCCTAGTCATTCCTTCTCTGGCTCCAAACAAACCAGAAGTGATGAAGTCTGGACTCTTGCCTCTTCTTTTTCTCTGTAAATGTTCTCTGAGAAGGCAGGCACTGTGACTCAGGCTCATTCCATGTTGAAGAAATTAAATACCTCGAACCAGGAACATTTTGATTGTTCGGAGGCCAGAGTCTCCTGTCTAACAGCAGAACAAGAACAAAGGAATTAATGAAGGAACAGTGACCCTCAGCAAAGTAGATAGCGGTTTCCATCCACACCTGTACAGACTGGAAACCGTGACCAATCCAACGGCTTCTTAATGTTTGTCAAACAGAAATAAATGCTTTTGTTTTTAAATAAGGCTGCTCTCATGAGAAGTCAGGAAAACTCAAGTAGAAACTGATCATAGGAGGGATTATATTTGATACATGGTGACTTTTTTTTTCTGTGTCTCAAAACTGTGTACTTCTCTAGAAGTACGCTGGGATATGAAGTTTCAGGGGTCATGAGTCTGAAATCTATGGAGATGACTGGTAGAATTTGGTAAACTCGGCAGTATTCTTAAAGAATTTTTTGTTTTGTTTTTGGTATTTTTAGTCAGTATTACTATAGAGCCCAGATTGGCCTCAAATTATTAATCCTACCCTCTCCCCACCTACTGTTTGGACTATAGGTGTATACCACCGTGTCTGGTTTCATATATAATTTTAAATAATTGTGTGTGTGATGGTATATTGTGGCTTGTGAGAACTGAAAATACTCAGAATGTTGTATAAACTATGAGTTCATATACACCAGACCCCGAGTACAAAGGACTCATTCATGCCTAGTCTGGTATGGCCACATGCCATGTGTACATGGGACAGCAGGCCGGAGGTATTGACAGCCTTGTGTCTGAGCCAAAGGAAGATGAAAGCCTGCATCCGAGGTTGGAACAAGGGGCCATGTCATAACAGGAAAGCTAGGTGCCAGGTCCAGCACCTCCTTTTAGTGGCCGTGGCTGTTCATTGTTTAAGTCGCAAACAGAAACAGGAACATAGAAAGGAGCATGAAAAATAGCTAATTATCTTTCTCTTGTTCTTGGAAAGGAGGAAAATGTACCCCATGTTACTGGAGGATAGAGCTTTGCCTGCTAAGGAGAGTCATTTTGATTGGCACTTCTAGAGCCAGTTCCTATTTAGCCATCCACAGGAAGTTAGAGACCTTGCTTCTTGGTGGTACGATTTGAAGAATGAGGTCGAGAAGGCAGACTAAGCAGTGGTAACAACTGCCTCATTAGGGACTCAGATAGCGAAGACCTTCTCATTATGTTTGTGGATGACAAGGATTTCCATGGCTCATTATATTAGCATATCTCTCTGACGTTATTATCATTCTGGGATCGATGGAGTCTACAGAGATGCTGGTAAACATGCCGTTATTATTTTGTGTGTGAGAGAGCCATGCACAATTTAACCCAAAGAACTATTGCTAAGCCATTAGAAAAATTTTCCCCTTCGGTGACTTCTCAGGGTCAAGGGTTGGGGTTGTTATTGTCACATGTGCCGTGACATTAGAGCCATATCATTCCTGCTAAAGCAATCTGACAAATGGTAAGCTCTGAGTCCACCAAGACTTTACCATTGCTTAAGCCTAAAGATTACTTTCAGCCAGGTCTAGAGTGGCCCCTCTCTGAGACCTACAACTTACCATTCTCTGGATCTTTTTAAATCACTGTTGGAAGGCATTGTGGTAGCGTGTTAGTGTATTGTTATTATTGTGTAGAGTGGATAATACATTCCTAAGGTTCAGCTCCCAAAGTCTAAGATAATCTTACACAATCACTGAATCCCTGTTCCTCAGATACTCTTTTTAGGCACACAAGCAAATGTGTACACATATTCTAGGCAAATAGTAACGTGTCATACATACTATTTGTGTTGTGTTTCAGTGAAGCAGAGCCACATGAATATTATAAAGATTGATGGTAGGAGCCTGGAGAGAGAGTTAATAATGGAGTTCTTGCCTTGCAGTTCCCTGAACACATGTAAAGAGTCTGACATGGGGGTGCGTACCCAGTACTGGGGAGGCAGAGGCAGGCAGATCCCTGGGGGCTCCCTGACCAACTAGTCTACCCCAATGGCGAGCTCCAGGCCAGTGAAAGATTTTGTCACGAAGGTGAATGATGATCAGGGTTCGGCACTCAAGGTTGTCCTCCAGCATCTGCATGCACATGTACACACACATTTATGTCTTTGCCTGTTTCTGCCTCCCCATCACATACACATACACAAGTACACATATGTACCCACATATACACATAAAAATATTCATGGCAGGAGAAAGACCTTTTAGAAATTATAGCTAGAGCTGAGGAAGAGGTCTGAAGGGGAGCTTGGGGATCAGGGAAAAGTCAGAAGTGTTGAAGCTGTGGCACTGTGGGATAGCTGGTAGACCGTTAGGGAACCTGGAAATCCCTGGACATCCAGATATCAGTGGAGGCCTGCGGTGAAGTACTTTACTATAGGTGGAGAAATTTTGTGTTGTTAAATAGAACTTCCTGGCGCAGGGCTTTGAGTTCAATCCCCAGTACCAGAAAAGAAAAATCTTTCTGCAGGATTAAAAGTGTTATGCTTCTGCCCTGTTGAATATAGTAGCCGTAAGTAAATGGCTCTGACCAAAGAACTGAATCTTTTGAGTATTTTAAATTTAACCAATGGGAAGTTGCAGAAATGTTAGTCAGAGCCGGGCAGTGGTGGCGTGCGCCTTTAATCCCAGCACTTGGGAGGCAGAAGCAGGTGGATCTTTGTGACTTCAAGGCCAGCCTGGTCTACATGAGCTAGTTCCAGGACAGGCTCCAAAGCTACAGAGAAACCCTGTCTCAAAATAAAAAAGAAAAGAAAGAAATGTTATCCAGAAGATTTAAAAAAAAGTGGAGTTGAATAAGATCAAGTAAGGTGACTATCACTAACAATATATTGTATTCTTCACTATCACTAGGAGTAGATTTTGTATTATCATTACAAAAAAAAGCATGTGAAGTAATAAATACCTATATTTAGCCATTTCACAGTTGGTACATATTTCAAAATAACATACTGATGATAAATATATATGCTTCTACTTGCTCTATTTAATATAAATCGTTAAAAATAAACAGAAGCATGTGGCTAGTGGTTCCCATATTGAACATACCATTTTTAGAAGTCTGCATCCGGTTCTGGGCCTGGATTTGCTGCTAAACAGCAAATGCTACAGATGAGCGATGGCCCGACAGTGGGAGAGAGTAGGTGCAGTCGCTACAGCAGACATCCCATATCTGCTACTCCCAGCCTCGGCGCCCTTCAAGATGTGATGCCATCGACTTCGCTCCCCTCTCCCAAAATCTCACCTAGGTTTCTCTCTCGCTTAGCCCTGTCTCAGAGGCCCTGATTTTCTCTCAGAGAAAGGTATTCTTGGGAACACTACAATTTCACACACTGACCAGGTATAAAAGCCCTACTAAACTGCTTCTCCTACCCAGTAGGAGGCTGTGATGACCCCACCATGCCAGTTCATATGGAATATCCTCCTCTTCCATGGCTTTTGTGCTGTGCTTATTGGGATGAGTCTGCTGGCCACCTCACTGCCTGTTCTATGATTTACTGGCAGGACATGGTGATGTCTTGCTCTTTTGCCACAGTTTACAGGCAGCGTTGAACGTATGTCATGAAAGATGTAGATGCGTGTATGTCAGGAAAACGTGTTGAACTGCTGTGATAGAGGGAGTGAGGATCTGAAGTTAAATTTTTAAGAAGAAAAAATATTAAAGATAATAAAAGGAGTTTTAAAAAATTATTTAGAAGTGTTTCTGTGCCTATGAAGTAAGGAAAAGAACCTTCTAACTGCAGCATCAACCTAGTAGAGAAAAAAAGTATGCACTGCCTCCGTGAGCACAGGAGGACTGATATAGAAAATAAGTTTTGCAGGCATAGAGGTGCTTGCCTGAGATTCCAGCTCAGGAGGCAGAGGCAGGAGGATCATGAGATGAATTCAAGGCCACTATATCTTAATCAATTAACTAATTAATTAAATTTATACAGTAAAATTCATAGCCTGAAGATTATGCTTTTTTAAACTAACACATTTTTAATGATTTTCTAATGGAAATTTCCTCGATTGTAAAACAAATATCAACCGTATTTCCAAATGCTGTGATAAACACCATGACCAAGGCAACTTAGAGAAGGGTTTGTTTGGGCTATGGTTCCAGAGGAATAAGAGTCCATGACCATCATGACAGGGAGCATGGCAGAGGGCAGTTAGGCAGGAATGGCGTTGGAGCAGCAGCTGAAAGTTCACATCCTGGTCCAAAAGCAGGAGGCAGGGAGCACCCTACCGATGGCTGGAGGCTTCTGAAGCCTCAAAGCCTGCCCCTCGTGACACACCTCCTCCAACAAAGCCACACCTAATCCTCCCCAAACAGTTCCACCAACTGGGGAACTAAGCATCAAATATGGCGTATGGGGCCATTCTCCTTCAAACCACCACAGCATAGGTTACTGTCTGGGAGAGAATCCCGTTAACCATGGGAAATTCATATCAACTTCAGGATGTGTATTTTCAAAAGAGAACTGAGTTGAAAAGAGAAACCTCCTAGTATTAGAAGCTTTCATTTTACCCCATCTCCTGACCTTGGAGTTGGGAGCTGTGGGTTCCACCAAGTCACACCAGTGTTCTGGACAGGCTGCAGAAGAAATGGCTTCTGGGTGCAGTGTCCTTGTACTGTAAAGCCATATTTCCATGAGAGCTTGTAGCCTTATTGCAAGAGGATCCTGTTGTCATAGACGACTTCTAGAAGTCAAAGTGTTCTTCTTTCTGTTGCTATTGATCCCATACACATCTAGTGAAGCTCTGGAAGGTTCCATATTGGACATTTGACCACATCAGCTCTTCCCAGTCCACTACCCTGCCTTACATGGATTAACTTTGTGATAACTATACTGAAGAATATTGGAAACAAGATTGTTCATGTTCATGCGGCCAAATTTTGATTTGGGAAAGGACTGAGCAGAACTTGAAATATAGCTGAATTTTTATTAGAACCTCAATACATTTTAGATGTTTGGAGACATCTGCTGCCCATATAAAAAATATCGATTCAGAGAATTTAATCTTTCACCTTTTTTTTGATCATTTTCATCACTCTATGCCCTTTACAGCATGATACTGGGGCCCAAACAGCTATTCTCAGTCTTTGATAAAGAAGATAGAATAGAAATTGGCTGGTGTACTGGGGAAGACGTGTAATGTTAAGATTACTACAGTGTGGTGGGGTTTTATTTTGTTGCTTTTACATTTGCAAATGAAATGCTATATATGTTTTCCTTAGAAGTGTCTAACTGTAAAAAACATCAACAAAAATGTCAAGGCCACAGATAAATTACAGACTTTAATAAAGAATTGCAATGAGACTGACCCTGACCCTCCTGACTGGTTTTGAACTTAGGTCTCAAGTTTGTCCTTGTCTGTCTGTTGGTATGACTGTTTTTTAGGGCTGGGAAGCCAGGCCCAGGGCCTGGTATGCTAGACTAGCTCCCTACCCACACCCTAACCACTGGGGATTCCCCTCCCCATTTCCCTTGGCCATGGCTGTATTCAGAGTACTTGGAGTTCTAAAAATATAATAATGGATATTGATTCCAAAGTTTTTGAGTGACCCTCATGTGAATTTACTTCCTTGATTGATAGACTGATATTTAAAAATTGTTGTTCAGTTTAATGCTGAGGGATTCCCATAATGGATGGGCCTGCCTCATGGCCTTTCATTGTCTCGTAGATCTTGGAATAGCACGTCTTCATTTAAGGTGTTCAATTTTTATTACATTTTATTTATTTATGTAGGCGTGCACATGCATGGACTTTGAGTGTGTGCACATGTGCACACTTGCACACATAGGAAAGTCAGAGGACAACTTGTGAGAGTCAGTTTTCTCCTTCCACCATGTTGTTCATTGGAACCGAACTCAGATCATCAGGCTTGGCGGCCCACTGAGCCATCTCCTGGCTGCAATGTTCAATTGTTATTTTATTTATTTATTTTAAGGTAATTTTTTTATTCTCTCATACAGTATCTCCCAACCGCAGTTGTGAACCTCTTTCTTTCAGACCTCCTAAGCCATGAAAATGCAGAAACCCTGAATGATGTGAAAACGCTGGTCCAGCAGCTCTACACCACGCTGTGCATCGAGCAGCATCAGCTCAACAAGGAGCGGGAGCTCGTGGAGAGGTTAGAGAACCTCAAGCAGCAGCTGGCCCCCCTGGAGAAGGTGAGAGCCCCTCAAACTTCCCCGTCGATCTCCTGTGTGTCATCCCCCCGACCCCAGTACACATGGGCTTCCGTGTCTCACTTTGAAATACTTGAGTCTGCTTACCAAATTGGTCCATTAGCTTATTAGTCTGAACCATCCAAGCGCTCCAATCAGAGCCCAAAGAGGACTTATAAAGGGATTGTCTGGAGCCTTGGTAATAGACCAAGAGCCCAGAGGTCCAAAGACAGAGTAACTGCTGACCGGGAGAGCTTCTAAATGTACTGGATGTCAGGTTATGAGTGAAGAGTGTATGGAACACTAGTGTGCAAACTTAATTCACTATAGGAAATATCATTGCTATGGAAAATAAATCCTAAAAACAGTGTTGATAGGTTCTAGTGGTTTTTTTATTGCATTCATTTATTTATGTACGACTTTATGGGCATGCAAATGCCACAGTGAGCGCATTTGGAGAGCAGAGAACAATGTGCAGGAGTCGGTTTTCTCCTACAGTGTGGGTCCCAGGGATTGAACTCAGGTCATCAGCCTTGCTAGCAAGCACCCTTGCCCACTGAGCCATCTCACTGACCATTATGACCCACGTTTTAATGTATTATTCATATATTATTATTCATATTCGTGTGCACATTTATACTACACACAAAGAACAATCAGAAGGATTACAATAACCTCATGCAGCTGTAGGCCCATGACTGACTTTTCTCCTTTATTCACAGTGAACATTTTACAGTGAACATGTTAGCCTGAGTCTTTATGATACCGCAGGTGCAGTCATTGTTCACTTCGTGATGGGGATGCGTCCTGAGAACTCTCTAAGAGACTTCATTGTGAGACCCTCACAGAGTGTATGTGCGTGGATCCAGATGGGCTAGGTCTTTACTCATCATGGCCTCATGATATAGTCATAGATGTGGTGACCCCACATATATGAGCCTGGTGTAACCGTCTCTAACATAACGGTAGAAGGAATAGCTTAGAATACATTGCCCAGTGTTCGTTGCCTTCGAGAATCATACCGGTGCTAACAGTACAGTGGGCTTGCTTACAGCAGCATTGCCACAAGCGTGTGGATACCACACTGTCCTGTGGGAGCCCATCATATATGCAGTCCCTCACTGACCAAATCGTTCTTGTGTGACTCGTGACCATATCTTTATCTTAAGGAATTGGGTAATTGGGATTGAAGAAAGGAACAAGTCCTCCAATGTTGTGCCTTTGGTCTCCCAAGGACAGTCGTTACCACATGTTATGTACCGTGTTCCACAATCGTGCACTGTTGTCCCCTGTATCCCTCGCTCAGCCTGTAGACCTTCTCCATGAGAAGGCTGGTGGGATTCTGCAGATCTCGCCCTGATCACGTTTGCTCAGAATCCAGTCTGTGCTGGCTCACTCTCTCGTTCTGCATAGGGAGAAACTTGACCTAAAACTAAGAATAGATAAAGTCTGACATATCAGTAAGAGGGCGTGGCAGCTTTTAGTTTCCTCCTTCGAAAGTTAGCCTGGCAGCCGGGTGAGGAGCTGGTGAAACTCACGCTCGTATTCCCACCAACTTGTCGAAAGCACACAGAAATCTCGGCTGTCCCTGTAGACAGTCTGTTTTGTCTGCTGGTTCCGGCTCCAGGCTGTTGATAAGCCCTGTACCCTTGTGGACGCAGAGCAGCTGAAAAGAACTGTAAGCTGTCACCAAAGCAAGCGCCTTAAGGTTGTCCACGTGTGCCCGCCAGGTACGAATCGAAATCAGCAGGAAAGCTGAGAAGAGGACGACGCTGGTGCTATGGGGTGGCCTGGCCTACATGGCCACACAGTTTGGCATCTTGGCCCGGCTTACCTGGTGGGAATACTCCTGGGACATCATGGAGCCGGTCACCTATTTCATCACCTACGGAAGTGCCATGGCCATGTACGCGTACTTCGTGATGACACGCCAGGTGAGGAACAGAACGGGGCTTCCAAGGCCAGTCCTCAGTTCCGTGCTAGCGCTGTTGTAGGCACTGAGGATGGAGAGGGATGTGTGGCACGGCCTTGGCTCTATGAATCACGTGTATAGATGCTTCCAGAATTAATATTGTAATAAGATGAGCGACTGCAGAAGGATGTGCCGCCCTAGGGATGTGCTCACCTCGCTTGATATTTATTTATTTATTTATTTATTTATTTATTTATTTATTTATTTATAACACTAGTTTTACAATGCTGCGACTTCATACACACTGCCACTGACCTACCTCTTCAGCCATAATGGCTTGATTTTCCATATATTTATGTAAATATTTCACATATAAATTTATTCCATACAACTTTTTATTGAATTTTTAGAATGGAGAATTCCTTATGATCAATGAATGCATAAACTAAACTCTAAGCTACTTCTGTGTGTGTTAAAGGATATTTTGACTTTGTAAAAGGTAAACAGTAAGAACTCAGTCACTTTATCCTTAGTCTATTAATCAACCAAGGCTGCCACCTTAGTGAATGCTAGTATCTAGAACCAGCCAGTGCTGGTTCAAGTGTCATGGAAATCCATGGTGTCATTTTGAGAAGTATAATGGATTATGGCTTTTTTTTAAAATGTGGTGCTGGTGTTCGAACCCAGTACCTCATAAGCTAAGCACACACTCCACCACCGAGCCCCTGTCAGCTCTGGTCATTATGTCTGTTGTACCACATCTAACCAACACTGCCTTGAATAAGAAACATTTGAAGCCGCTGAGACACACAAGGCTCCCCACGTTCTCTTTGTGTGTGAAGCAGGCTACGGGTTGCTTCATGAATTTTTACGTGCCTGCTTTTGAACTAGGCATTTTCCTGTTGTTAGATCAGTAAGTGATCATGAACCTAGGTGTGTATAGGAAAACAAAAGCCTGGGAATTTTATGTAACCTTTCTCAGCCTCCCAAGCATCCCTGGGAGAGGGGGGCAAGTGAAGTGTCCATGTCCTCTGAATGCTCACCCACGGTCTGCCGCGATCCTGGGTGCACAGAGCTGGCAACCACGTCATCCTACCCTGCTGCCTCTCTGGATGCAGCCTGCCTCAGTTTCCCTCTCCTTGCTGCCCAGCCTGGGCCTTCACAACTGATTGCTGTCCATCCTTAGATGTCTCTCAGCTCAGTGTTTGCTCTATGTTCTGGTCCCCAGGATGCCCTCCCTCCATTCCCCTCCTCACACAGTTCTGCAGTCTGGAAAGTTCTCCCTGCTCTCTCCTGTCATATTTCAAGGTTTCCTTAATTCTCACCTTTCATGAACTTTTGGTCATTTTCCTACAGAGCAGTGTCTCCCTTTTCTCCTGAACCACTGCTCCATATTATTATTTATTCGTTGTCTTTTCCTTCAAAGGAGACTATTGTATCATCTTTATTTGGGTTTGTTTAAGTGGGAGGGTGTGGTTTGTTTGCTCTGAGGGACAGGTTCTCACTCTGTAATTCAGTGTGGCCCGAAGTTTAGGTCTTCCCGCCTGGGCCTCCCAGGTGCTGGGATTACAAGTGTAACCACAATGCCAGCAGGCTGCCACTCACATTTTACTCCCTTACCTTGTAACAAGTGAAAGAAATGAGAGTCACCCTTTGGGCACATGCAAGAACTTTTCAGTTATACCTTGAATTCAAAAACGGTATTTGTTGTATTCTTGCCAGTCAGTCAGTCAAATTGTAAAAAAGGGAAAAAAAAAAGGCATTTCCCTATGGACTTTGCATTTCTTTGATTATGAAAAGATTAAGCTGCCTTCTCACATCTGTGGAAACATCCATGCGCCTTTCCCCGAGGTGCATCACGTGTCATGCATCTTACATCTGATAGCACAAATACATCTGCACTCATTGATGTAGTCTCGATTCTGCAGATGCATTTCCACCCTGCAGATGAGGAAGTCAGGCTCGTTAGGATAAGAGTTACCTGCTGGAAACAGTAGGTCCTGGAACTGAACCCGACTGTGTTCTGCCCCCAAGCTGCTCTTTCCTGTAAATCCCCATGCTCCCTCTGCAGACTTCGTTTATGTGTAGTTATTTCTGAATTAAATAATCTGGATCTAGAATAATAACAGAAGTATTGAAGAAGCTAGGCATGTGCCGCACACCCGGATTCTAGCACCTGGGTAGCAGAGGCAGGAGATGGCTGTAAGTGCAAGGCCATCCTGGTCCAGCTTGGGCTGGCAGGGCTAGCCTGTCGGGGAGGTGAGGACTGCTGCTGAGCGCTCCTCTGTGCACGTCCACTGGGCTTCACATTACCGCGGTGTTAGTCCGGAACATGGTGGCAGCGCTTTCTCCATTACCATGTCGTTGTATCTCTAATGCCACATCCGTCCTGTGTGTTAGATGCTCCACTGGACTTCCAGAATATTGTGACTGCCCCCAAGTGACAAGTTGTGACATAGCAGTAGTAAACAGTTTGGTCACACCTCTGACCAGAAACATTAGCTGAATTAAATGTGCGTGATTTCTTGTGCTAAATATTGGTTTTCCTAACCATCGGCTCTAATTAGCATGAGCAAAATGACTGTTAAACAGCATCTTCCTCTAAATTGTTACAGCGACATGCTACATTTGTGCTCCGTGATGACAAATTCCTTGAAATAATAAAACTCAGTCCCGGCCTGCTCGCACATCCCAGCTTGGCAGTGGTGGAACAGAGGATACACACCATGATGTGGGCTATAGTGTAATACCGCGTAGCAGTAAGAAACGAGTAGGCTCTGGCTACAAAAGAACCATCAGATACTGGCACAGTGCCGAGTGTCTGTAGCCCCAGCTGCTGGGACGGATGAGGCAGGAGGATGACTCGAGTTCAGAATCCAGGCCATCTCAGGAAACATAGGGAATGTGATCTCAAAACACAAAAGGCAAACAAATGTTTAAGAAATAACTAAATATGTAACAGCGTGTTGGTCTGTCTTTATGAATACATATTGTGTTGAGTCTGATCAATATTAATAATTAATGAACAGTTAATAAATGTCTTTAGAATGCTTTGAGTGTTGGCCAGGTGGTGGCACACGCCTTTAATCCCAACACTTGGGAGGCAGGACAAGAAGATCTCTGTGAGTTCGAGGGCTACCCAGAGAAACCCTGTCTCAAAAAAAAAAAAAAAAACCTTCTAGTGGGGACTAATAGGCTAATTTTTTCCTTTGTTTTCTAGGAATATGTTTATCCAGAAGCCAGAGACAGACAATACTTATTATTTTTCCATAAAGGAGCCAAGAAGTCACGTTTTGATCTAGAGAAATACAATCAACTCAAGGATGCAATTGCTCAGGTAAATTCTAGAAAAATCACATGAGCCCAGCCCCATCTTAAACAGCATCATTAGTATCCATGATCATGGTCCTTCACATGGGCAGCCTGAAGGAGGGATCCAGCCACTGTATCCTGGGTAAAGGTCATTAACAAAACCTTTAGCAATGGACACTTAACTGGGTTTTTGTTTTTTTTTTTTTAAGGGGGTTGGTTTCTTGTTAGCAGGACATTTTCTGTTTGTTGTTTGTTTTAAGGCAGTGTCTTCTGTAACCTAGGCTGTCCTTGAACTCACTAACTCAGTAGATAGCAGTTAGTATGACTCGAACTTCTGGTCCTCCTGCCTCCACCTTCCAAGGGCTAGGACGTCAGGTTTATGAGATGCTGAGGATTGAGATCAGGGCCTCACGTATGCTAGACAAGTACTCTGCTAGCTGAGCTGCTCCCCGGCCGTTGCTGTCTGGATGTGTGCCCAAGGCTGGCCTCTGCCTCCAGTGACCCCCTAGCTCAGCCCCCCGGGTTGACCCCCGTGTGCCACGAGGCCACCTCTAGTTTTCACACCTCAGCGGATGAAAAGATGGCGAGTCCCAACCATCCTGTTGACACACATGCTGGGATTTTTAGGGTTTTTTTCTTTTTTCTTTTTTTTTTTTTTTTTGTTTTTGGTTTTGGTTTTTCGAAACAGGGTTTCTCTGTGGCTTTGGAGCCTGTCCTGGAAATAGCTCTGTAGACCAGGCTGGTCTCGAACTCACAGAGATCCGCCTGCCTCTGCCTCCCGAGTGCTGGGATTAAAGGCGTGTGCCACCATCGCCCGGCTTAGGGCTTTTTTTTTTCATTCTTGGTTATTCAGAATTGCCTGTTTTTTTGTTTTGTTTTGTTTTGCTTTGCTTTGTATTTGTTTTCTTTCCCCAGCTAGAGTCATCTGGGTGTTTTTTGTTTGCTTGTTTGTTTGGTTTAGTTTTTTTCTTCTTTTAATCTCTCTGCAGTAATTGACCCAGAGACTTTCCAACTAAACTGGGATGGAGACAACAGCACAAAAGTGAAAACCTTATGGTAATTAGGAAAGACTGGGCGGCCTAGGCCAGGTGTATGCCAGAGAACCTTCCAGAAGACACCTTTTAAACACACACATGCTTTCCACACATACTGCCCCTCTTTCAAATTCCTGCACTTCCTTTGATGTTGGCGAATAAATCTTTGTTTTCCCCATAGTCTAGTGATTTCAGAGGTTTTCAGTCCATCCCCAGAAGGCCTTCCATCCTCTGTAGTGTTTGGCTGCCCAGCTCTAGTGTGTGTGTGTGTGTGTGTGTGTGTGTGTGTGTGTGTGTGTTGGTGAGATTGTGCCTTTAATAGGTGCCATCCATCTTCCCACCTTGACCTAAGCACACGCTGCCTACTGTTGCTGAATGTAGTCATTCTAAGCCAAGGGCAGTACTGGTCCGTCATCTCCAGAGCCAGTACAAATACAGGTGCATCAGCACCCCCCTCCCCCCAGCTAATTAATACAAGTCTTAAGGATGTGATTCAAGCATGTGAGATGCTTTGAAGATGCCTCAGTTGATTGCACATCCTTTTAAAGCTGCTCTAGCGGCTGGGAAGGCTCACGCCTATAGTCCTAGCACTGGGGTAGGAAGACTGCTGTGAGTTTGAGGCTCACCTAGGCTACAGAGTGAGACTGTCTCAAGAATCAGCAAAGGCAAGCAGAATGTGATGGCACACGCTTTTAATACGAGCACTCTGAAGGCAGAGGCAGGTGGAACTCTCGAGTTTAAGGACAGCGTGGTCTACACAGTGAGTCCTAGGGCAGCCAGGGCTACATAGAAAGGCCTATCTCAAACAACAACAGTAACAGCAACAACAAATTCGCTGACTGAGTAAAATACTTAAATAGATATTGAATGAGCAAAGTTTAAATGGCAGAGATTAAGGGTTTGAGATCCTCCTAAAGGTTTATGGAGGAACGCTGTCACGGATGTCCGACATGGTCCCTGCACTCTTAGGCTGGGGTCTTTATACCACCTGCCCATTCTGCTTTTCTGGGAGGATAGACAACTGCCTTGGGCTAAAGACATTTGTCTTCTGATCTTCAGAGTCCCTGAGAGGATCTGATTAAAGTAATAATGGAGAGGCTGTTCCCTCTCTCCGCAGGCAGGAATGTTGCTGCAAGTGTCACTGGCCACCCCTCCTCACTTGTTGTCTCTATTTTAGGCAGAAATGGACCTTAAGAGACTGAGAGACCCGTTGCAAGTACATCTGCCCCTCCGACAGATCGGAGAAAAGGATTGATCTGCACAGAGCGTGAAGCCCGGCAGAGAGAACGCCTGTTTCTAACTCATGCCTTTTTAATCTCAAGCATTGCAGGTGGAAGCGGGGGCCATGTGGGGGAGAGAGTTTTTACCTTTAATTCTAAGACAAAACACAAAAAGGATCTTAGGGAAGAAAGGGACGTTAAATTCTGAGGATCAGGCATCGTGAAATACAAGTGCAAAGGGCTTAGTGAATCTTGTCTTAAGCATCTCGTTTCCAGATGAGAATGATGCAGTCACAGCTGAGAGAATGAAGCAAGGGTGATGTTGGGGTGTTCGTTTCTTGCATCTTTGCAAGGTCTGCAAAACACTAACACACCAGCACCCCACTCGGCTCTAGTTTTGTTTTTTGCTTTTTTTTTTAATTTAAAGTTTCTTATTTTTGACATAGGAATAAATAACTATATAAGAAAGCAAATCCTTATGAATTATGGTTGGCAGAGTCTGAGCCAGTAAGGCTAACCTTCATCTTAAGCTGGAACCAGTCTCTGTGAAGTTACCAGGAATTTCTCCACCCCAGGTCCCTTTTCTGACCAGCTAACTACTTACGTATACCTGCTGGTTACACTACTTTTATCCAAGTAATCATTGAAATCAATTTAGGACTGTTTGGTGATTGACAGTTGGATTATGTCGTCTCGAGTTCTCACGTCTGTCTCCCAGGGTTCTGAATGGCTATCTAGAGATCACTGGCAATACTGCATGAGGTTTTAATTGTATTTTGTTTTATTTTTTTTTACTAATTAGCCTTCAGAGGAGAAAAAGACCCCCTCCTTTATATACCGCTCCCATTGGCAGCCCCCACTTCCTCCACATCACAGGCCAGAGGGCCAGTGTTCATCTGTGTTCAGAAGCGAGGAGGATGCAAGGTTTACAAATCAGCTAAACATCATGGCTCTGGGGCTGAGTCAGAGCCGGGATAACCTTGGCTAATCTAAGACACACAGTTCCTCACCATGGTGAGCCCTCCCAACTCCACTCCAGTCGCTGAAAGACAAGGGCGGATCTCAAAGGGTGCCATTATCTTTATACAGGAGTATCTTTCTATGGCTTCCTTTAGCCTGCCTTCTCCACCCTGTTTCTTTTTGTCTTAAGCCGAGAGACAGAAGAATTAATCTTATACTCTGCAGAACGTTTTCTACCGTGTTTCCAGATGGCACCTGCACTCGCAAAGCCAACGAAATCTCTCTCTACTGTGCTGTTTTTAACTGTCCCAGGACAGCAAGAACGACAGGGGGCTCTGCCGCACAGCTGATCGGCTTTTGGCTTCTGTTTCCCTCACACTTGTGTTTCATCCTTCCTCGTGGGGCATTGTGTACGAAAGAAAACCTTGAAACGACAAACCCAGACTCCAGGTGCCTTGCAGAGGTCGAAGGCCAGCCGGGACTGCCGCTTCCTGCCACCACCCTCCACCGGCATGACAGAGCGAGCGAGAGAGCGAGAGGATGCATGTCTCAGTCCCAGCCTCCTACTTTCCTTCCTGTTGTTCAGCCTCTCACTCGTTTCTTTTTGTTGTGTGGATTATTTTTAAACCGCTCATCCTGTTTGTGTGCAGGGTTCTTAAGAAGGAAAGGCACAGTGCAATGAGTGAGTCCTCTGGGTGGTGTGGGAGGCAAGGGGGGGGCGAGCAAAATGTCGAACACATGTACAATCCTGTATCATTTATGAAATATGTATAAAAAGCAATGTACCTTCTGGAACAATAAATACTTATTCAATTTTTGAATCCTAGCCTCTTGTTCTTTAAAACAAAACCAGAAAGAAACTGACTCTCCTGGGATCGTATCTGGGAAGATTTTTTTTTTTTTTTTCTGTCTAAAGTTAGATTTTTGTATAGGCTGGGTGTGGTGGCGCACACATTTAACCCAGCATCACTCAGGAAGCAGAAGCAGGTGGAGTTCTAGACTCTGTGAGTTCTAGACCAGCAGGTTCCAGGCCAGCCAGAGCTGCAGAGTAAGGCCCTGTCTCAAAAACAAACAACAAAATAAATAAAAGTAAATTTTAGAGAAAATAGCAATATCGAATTGAGCTTTCTTCGTCAGCCTGCACATCACTAATTCTTCCCTTATGTTATTGGACATTGTAGTCCCAGTTTTCCAGAGCCACCAAGGCACCAATCAAGTCACCTCTGAGGTCAGTATAAAGCAGCATGGAAACTCCTTTGATACACAGGGAAGGAAAAAGATCACTTTTCTATCACTGCCGTGATTACCTGGTACTCCAGAAAGCAGTTCAAAGACAAATCAAATACCCATTATTTTCAGAAATTGAATCAAATTTATAATGATTGCTCACTAAATAGGAAATTTTCATGGGGGGACATCAACAAAACAACACAGCATGGTCTGTGGCTGCTCTGTGAAGAAGTAGCTGCTGCCCAGAGAGCGTCTCCCTGCAGCTTACAGATCTCCCTGGACACAGCCCAGGTAAGTGGATGTAAAGGAAGGATGGAAATGTGGGGCCACTGTATGCACCGGTCTTGTCTTCTCTGCCTGGGGGGATCTGAGGCAGATGAAGAACAAGTTATGGTTGGGCTTCTCCATGGGAAGCAGGCAATAGTTATTCTTTCTGAAATGCCCGTATTTTCTGTAAGATGGGGATTGTATGGGAAACATTGTGATAATGTATTGGCCCTACTACATGGTGCTTTACAGATTATCCCTTAAGAAGTAGATCTTTGGGGCTGGAGACATGGCTCAGTGGATAAGAGCATTTGCTGCTCTTCCAAAGGTTCAGGGTTCCGTTCCCAGCACCCATCTCTGGTGACTTCCAACTGCCTGTGGCACCAGCTCCAAGGGATCCGATGCTCTCTGGCCTCCCCAGGCATCTGCAGGCACACGATGCACATAAACCCCCACAGACACATACATGTAAATATGAGAAGACAAAAGAAGTAGGTGTTTATTAAAAGCAACAGACCAGAGGCTGCATGATTCAGCAATCCACTTCTAGGCCTGGGTCGGAAGGGATTTGAGGATTCCAGTCATGACCGTGTTATTCAGCTTGGCCAGAGAGCGGAAGCAATGCAAGTGGACGCCAGCACACTACTGTTTATACAGAGAGGCAGCCGAGGGTCCAGAAACGGAGGGATGGATGTGGCCTGCACATGGGATGCTCCTCAGCCATGAAAGATGGAAGTTCTGACATGCTGTAACATGGATGGACTTTGATGACAATATGATAAATAAAAAAATCATAAGAGAAAGAACACTTTATGATTCTACATGTGTGAAATAGCTAATCAAATTCACAGTAATATAAGCGATTTTGCAGGGAGATTGGAAAATGAGGAATTATTGTTTAAGAGGCTTTAAGGAGTTTTCATTTGGGAAAATGACGTTCTGGAGATAGGCAGTAGTGATGGCTGCACAAAGGGATAAACTTAAAGCCACCAAACTAAACACTTAAAAACCGTTCTTGGGGTAACTTTGCGTTGGGAAGACTTTGTTACGTTGTGAAGCTGTGGATTCCCGCTAGAGCCAGGCTGGCTGGCATTGATCTATCGCTGGGCGAGGCAGTGCACTTGGCTGAGGGAACTTCTAGCTAGACTAGCAGAGGGGCCTCAGAGATCATCTTCACCTCCCAGAAGCTGCTAGAGATGCAAGTTCTCAGACCTCTGTGCAGGCAGCAGTCGGTGTCCAACAAGGACCGCTGCTGATTCTGTTGAGACTGTCGACCAGATGAACCATAGCTCTGGAGAACGAACGTGAAGAGGAGGGAGCTCTACCCATGACTCCAGTGAGTCCCAGAGTCCAACACTGGATCAGCTGAAGGGCTGGTGAGTATGTAACGGGCAAGCAGCAGCCTGGGGCCAGTGCGAGAGAAATCCCGTGGCCTGCCTTCAAATACAAGTATAAAGAGGCTGGATTTTAAATTTCATCGGTTAAAAGTGGGTGCCACCACCACCCGGCCTTTTAAATTTCATCTAGAAGGATTCACAGAAAAGGGAAACTGTTTAGGTTTTGGGACTCACTTTCACCCCAACTCTTTCAATTTAAAAAAAAAAAATTTAAATATTTATTTATTTGTTACATATACAATATTCTGTCTGTGTGTATGTCTGCATTCCAGAAGAGGGCACCAGACCTCATTACAGATGGTTGTGAGCCACCATGTGGTTGCCGGGAATTGAACTCAGGACCTTTGGAAGAGCAGGCAGTACTCTTAACCACTGAACCATCTCTCCAGCCCCCCCCTTTCCATTTTTTTATGAAATGTGTTGACTGACAATTTCACACATACATGCAGTGTCTACGAACTATACCCCCAACTCTCTCCCAGTTCCCCGTTGCAACTCTTTCTTAGTTCATGCCTGTACGTTTTATTTTGGGACCCACCGAGTAGTTTGACCGGGGCCATCTATGTGACCACAGAGCCACCCATTAGTCCAGTGGGCTCAGCAGTGTGTCTGCTACTAAGGACAGTGACTGCCTCTTTCCCAGAATCTATCAGTAACCAATAGTTCAGTGGAAGGGGAGGTGTCTCATGAGCCTCTCCCCCACCTGGGACAGTGTTAACAGGGCCAGTCTTGTGCAGGTGAGTTCAGGTAACCATGATGGTCAGTTCATGGTTGGAACTGTTGTGTCTAATCTAGATGGCATTACACGCCTCAGGCCCCCCTTGCTCAATGTCCCCTGACCTTTACAGGGGAATGATATAAATGCCACTGATTTTCTTCAGTTATCACCGCTCTTCTCTCTTCTCCCAAACAAGCCACACACCGTGTCTTCCACAAAGCACTTTTTGGGTTATTTCCTTGAGATCATTACTAAATGTAAAGTTACCTGCTTTATAAATTCCCGTTTACCCATCATTTGCAAACACTTTGTAAGTGTGGCGCATACTAAACAGGGCCATCTCCTTCAACCCTCTGGGCCCCTGTGACTCACTCTCAGATCTCCCTCCTCTCCTCCCCAATTCCTTGGTCTTCTTTGCTGAGTCTACTTTCTACAATCACGTATTTTCTGTTAACTTCCCACCGTGCCCCATCCTGGGACACTCTTTGCTTGGGCAATCTCGCTCATTGCCCCATCTCGGGTACCAATTATATGCTGTCTCCATGTTCTGTGTCCCAGAACAGCAGACTGCTTTACCTTCCCCTTGGCTGAGGGGTGCTAAGTTCCTTCCATGTCACCGGTGTATTTGGGGGTTTAATTCTTAATAACATTAGCTGTGGGCAGGGGAGGCTAAAAGACACAGTAAAGAAGCAATCAATCAAGTCTGGAATACGGAACATTCTATAATCTGATGGTCAGTAAATAGTACAGAGGATGAAGAACGGATGATGCAAAATTTCAGTGACAAAGCACAATGCAGTATATGGTAAAACTCTTATTGACCCAAACTGGCAATAAAAACGAACATTTGAAGCTATTGGGAAAGTTAAAGATGGACAGGGTATCAGATATGGAAGAATTATTCCTGCTTTTCATAGCTGTAGTCACATCTACCTCATGGTTACATAAATAAGGAAAACTATATCTTAGGAGTGCATAATGGAATATGAACAAAATAAAACTGATAAAATGTTAGCTTTGCAGCTGGGTGTTCAGCAGTTTTCCTCTGACTTTTGTGTGTATTTAAAATTTTTAATCATTTTTAAGGCAGGTCAACTAAAAGAGAAAAAAAGAGACATAAGGAGAAGAGGGAGGGGAGGCTGTGGTCAGGATGCAAATTAATTTTT